CAGCACCTCTCTGCTCCATGCATCTGCCCTATGGCAGGGGCAGAGCTGGGGCTCATCCTCTCCCTCACCTCAGAAATCAGGAGCCTCAGGAGCAGGTTTCTGTCCTGCCTCAACCTCAGAAGAGCCCACAGGTTGCTGTGGAGCAGCTGTGTTGTCTCAGGTGCTTTGGGAGGTGATGTTTTGGGCAGCTACGTGTTAGGCTCTGGGTTGGTGCAGGAGGCAGCCCTGGTGTTGGGAAAACCAGCGTCTGTGTGAAGGGCAGGGAAGTCTGGCGTGAAGCAGATGAGTGTGTCGGTGCTTCTCAGGGTGAGTGGTGGTGAGCGTGGGCTCAACGTGTGTGCTGCGCCGGCAGGACCTGGGCTCGCTCCTGTGAAATTAATTCATTAGCGTGGTGTGAAGCCGCTCCCCCCAGCAGCGGGACCCTGTTGGTGCCCAGGCATCCCACAGCCAACCCCGCTGCCACGGCAGCATCGCACCGCTCCTCGGCGTCCCCAAACTGGTACCTGCATGTTCACAGCTAGTGCCCGGCACTGTGGGGACCTGCCACAGAGTATCTGCTTTCATAGCTGTAAATGCACAGCTTTCTCCATGGTTTAACACCCTTTAAAAAAAAAAAATAATCAAAGCAGATGGAGACGGACTACAAGCAGCCCAGTGTGTCCACCCTGTTTAGATGATTCTGTTGGGCATCTCCCCACTTGGCCTCTGCCCCCTGAGAGATTTTAAAAGGATGTAAAGACTGAATTTCACTTATCTCCAGAGCCATTTCCTTTTGAGTGTTACTATTATCCCTCAGATGGTGTGAAGCAAAGGATATTAAAAGGCGTATTGACTTCTCACAGTGATCCAATCTGAGAAAGTTGCAGAAATAAAGAAGGTAGTACTCTGCTTCTCATGCGCTAGCCCAGCGTCACCAATAGTCACCCAATCCTGCACACCCCTCGGTGCGTGACACATGGGGCACACCAGCCTCCTGCAGAGACCAGCGCTGTGCATTAGGCTTCGTGTTTGTCAGCTCTGGAGGCTCCTGTTTTGAGTCCTGTTGCTGGTTAAGACAGGAATGGGTTTATACGTGGGCACAATCTGGTTGACGTTGGCTTGGGATGTCTGCAGCACATCTATTTTGTCTGGAGGAGGTATGTAATTCCTGACCTCTGTGGGCTGGCCCCCATGCTGGCTCTGTGGAGGATGTGAAGCTGTTGCAAAGCTTCAGGGTTTCAGCTCTAGGGAGAGTACCTTGAACTTTCAGTTCAGAGTCTCCCTGCTCGGCTCCTGTGTGCCCGCCCTGAGAGCGGTCCTTGGGGAAATGCCACAGGGCAGGGCTCGGCCTTCGGAAGCAAGCTAACAAACCTCATCCATTTGCATTTAGTTGCAGCTTTTCTTTTGGTTGGAAGTTTTGGAAAATCATCATGTTTTGCATTTTCTACCTTTACCCCAGCAGATGACAGCAATAGAAACGGAGGTGAAGGGTGATACCTATAGATGTTTTGGGCTTGGCTGTCCCCAGGTGACTGTGTTAGTACCCCTGGGCTGCCAGGGCCAGTTGCCCATTGGAAATACAGCCCAAAGAGCAGCAGTCCCTCTCAGATGACTGCCCAGAGGTGATATCTAAAAGTGTTTGTGAAAGGCCGCATCCTGTGCCTGAGGTGTGTCTGAGCACTGCCGGCTGTCTTGCTGCTCCCTGCACATGCTGCAGTGGAATCGCTCCAGCCTGGGGGGGTGGCTGCAGGCTATCAGGGAGGAGACATCCCTCCTGCCCTGCGTGCAGACCCACACCCTCCTCCTGGCTTTAGCCATGGAGGCAGCTGCCCCCAGATGGGCTCCTGGGCTCTCCTGGGGCCTCTGCAGGGAGCCAGCCCCTCTCTGGGGGCCACACAGGGCAGGTTGCTGCTCCCTCCGTTAGTACCTGGGCTGTGGTGGCCACCAGGACTGGCATGTAGTGCTCGAGCACTGGTGCCTCGACACAGGTGAATGCGAGGCTCTGCTTCTCTCGGCCCCCAGGAGACCAGAGAGCTCTTGAATCCTGACCTTCAAACCTCATCCCCTTTCACCACTATTCCCTTTGACTCCTGTCATTGCCCAGATTTTCCCAACAGCTGTCCTCTGCCTCGCTGGCTTTGCGCCTAGATCAATCTCTCTGCATCTGTGCAGTGACCCCCCTCGCTCCCCAAGGTCCTCCTCGAGTCCCACCTTCCCCACAGCCTCCAGCCCCTGAGCCCAAGGATCTGTGCAGCTCCCTGTGCCTCTGCCTGATGGAGGGAGTTCAGGGAACCTCCAGTTCTGCTGGGCTTTGGTGGTCCTGCTGCCATGGGGTGAGCACCATAGGGCTTGGACCTCTTCTCTTTCCATTTGTGAACTCCCCAAGCACAAACTGGGCTTGGTAAATAATAATAGTGTGATGAAGCGGTTTAGATGGAAGAGATTTGACAGCCCCCATTGAATGTGACCTGAATGCACAGCCCAGTTCCCTCTCCTCCCTGCATGCAGCAACCCCCTGCTCCTTAGGGCGTAAATTACTTACCATTCCCTATAGAATTGAGGGCATGCTTAATTCGCCAACACAGTCCTGCTGCCCAGCAAAAAATGATGACGTTCTCTCTCCTCCCCTGGCTAGCAGAGGGCTCGGCACAGGTGCCTGCCTGACAGAGGGAGACAGAGGCTTTTAATTTTCAGGCCCCAGCTTATTTCTGAGTCTTAGGTCTTGTCTGACCCTGCAGTAGAACAGGCAAGGTGCAAATGTTGAAATATGTGCAAGTGAAAGTCAGAGCTAATGTCCAAACACTTTTCTTGTAGAAGCTGGAATATCTGGCCACAGGAGGGAAGCGGGGATTTCCTGGTCTGAATTCTTCCTGACCATGTGTGACTCTTTTTAAGCACTCGCATTCAGCATCTCCTGGGTACCATCTGGAGCCTGAGTGGGAAATTGTGCTCCTAGCAGTATTTTGAGATGTAAAAATCACTAGTGTGGAATGGCTGCGAAGGATGCTCAGTGTGCAGTGAGCAGGCTAGACAAAATATGTCCTTAGGGCTCACCACTGTGTGAGCGAGGCAATGCGATGTGTAATTTGTGGGCTATTAGTAATTCAACAAAGAGACTGCAGTGGGGCTCAGTGGAGGACTCGGGCTGGACCTGCAAAAGCCTCTATAACATTATCATACAGAGCACTTCTTCCTGGGAAGGATCCAAAGCATCATTTGTGGAGTTGAATTCATGTCATAAATTATGGGGCACGTGATGGGCTACATTCACTTAGGTTGCCTCTTCTGCATCCTTCCTGGAAACTCATCTAATAAGAGCTGGCCTCTGGCACATCAAGGCTCAAACATCCACCGTTTGTTAATTGCTGGCAGTAGAAGTGCTTCTTTTTTGCCTTGAAATGTGGAATCCCTTCCTAGAATTGCACTGGGGACTAATAAAAGCCAGTGCCAGGTTTAATATATGCTATCTCACAAATTATCTGGATTAAATACAAGGACTGTGTACTGCCAGAGAGGGGATATTCCCAGCTTAACATTGCTGCTGGGCCATGGAGATCCCAAGACATTGGACCTGAAAATTGCGATTCTCTTATGTGTGTGGGAGGGGCTTGGCAGGAGTGCTTGGAAGTGGTCATATTTGCCTCAGCTAGAGAATTAATTGCCATAAAAACTATGGGTTTGTAACCAATAGTTACAGCTGCAGGAAAGATCAGAAAGCATCTGAATAAACCAAATTAACTATCTCCTGCTCCATCCATTTGAGAGTAGAACCTTTCAGGGCAAGATTTAAACCACAATCTGGTTGACCCCTAACTCTCCCACCTACGAAATGGAAAGTCCAGAAATACAATCAACTGAAACAGGGGTCGATGGGGACTGCCGTGCTGGGTTATGTGAGGCGGTTGGTCTCTGTTGGGGGCGTATGAACCCAGGGGAGGGCAATGAGGAGGTAGCCTGCTCCTGCAAAAATATCACCGACTCACAGAGGCCGTCGGGCTGTGCAGTCCAACCACCCACGTAGTGGACAAAAAAAAGCTGTGCCTGGTAATTGCTGCACTAGCCCACACCTTGACTTGCTTGCTCCTGACCCTGATGTTTCTGATGCCCTCAGGCAGAGGGTTCACCCCTCTTGTGGCTCATGGCTCTTAGCATTTCCCCATCTCGCTCTGGCTGTTGTTCTCCATACAAGCCTTGGAGCGATGATGTGAATCCTGACTCACCCCTGACCTTCTGGATTTTGCACCGCTTGCTGTCGCGTGCCGGCGCGGAATGCAGGCCTTGTAATTAATCTCAAATTTGTGACTTTTTGCCTCTTCCCCCTCCCGCTCCCGCTCAGACTGACGCCTTCCCCAGCGCCCCCGCCCCAGCAGCCGCGCCG